CTCAAAATATATGACTCCTTTTCTACTGTTTTTGCATATAAATATATTTTGATAAATCCTTCCATTGCACACTCAAAAACCATGGATCACTGATGCAGCATTAAAATAGCTGAACCAAAAAGACCTAGAACAATGGTATCATGGTATGCAAGACTAGCCCTCCATGTGAATTTTGCCTTATTTGCATGATATATAAAGAAAAATGTTTTTGTTAATGATAATGGCAATATTGCATGTCATGTTGGTGTGCTGAGTACGGCTTTGCACTTTGTTATCGTGAGTCATTCATAGTCACATTTAAAAAGAGCATAAAATCTATTGATGAGAGTTACAGTGGTGTGCCCAGTGCCTCACCTGTCCATTGGATAAAAGTCGTGTAGTTGAGAGGTATAGATACAACATTTCTGATCACCATAAATAACCAGTCCCTGGTACAGCTAGTCAGAGACTCCATGAGAGGAGAAGTAATTGTCTGAATCATAAATGCTGCAAAATTTCTAAGTAGAAATATTACTCCTGAAGAACCATCATTCATGAATAGAGATCACGATGTGCTCAGAGACAGCATTGCTGTCCGAACAAAAAACATGCACAAGAGATACACTGTAGTGATTGCAGTTTGAAACAGGTGAAATAATATGTATAGTTAAATAATTACAATAGCTATGAAAAGAATAAGAAAAAGAAAAAAAAAAAAAAGATCAAGGAAGCTGCCAAAAGGATGAAATGGTTATAAGTGACCACAATACTGCTTAACACAGTAATGTTTCATAGAAGGTGTGCATCAGCGAATAAGAAGAGTTTAAGAAATCAGTAAATTCTGGGATGTTCAAAGAGCAGTGCAAAGAGTTAAAAAAGGAATAAGGAGGAAAAGGCTCCAAAGACAGAAAGTTGTGTTCAAATACAATCTAGAGGAAAAAAAAGAAGAAAGAAAAAAAAAAAAAAAAGAAAAAAGAAAGCAAATCTAACTCGTAATATTGAATTATCTTATATTTGGCCAGGAAAGACTTTGAGAATAAAAACTTGCTAAATTTCCTTAAAACTAAAAGTCTATGGGGTCAGTAGATATAATCAAGACATTAAAAAAATGCATGAAGAATTGGAGACCAAGGCTGAAAATTAATTCCTCACTCCAGCTTTCCTCATAGGAAGACTTAGGGAGGTTCTCACACTGACAAAGAAACAATTTGGAGGAACTGTCTCAAGTACAGTGTCAATAAGAGAGATTTGAGAAAAAAATCAATAAAATAAGCAAATAAAGTACAAGGAATAAATAAAATTGTAAAGAAATTCCAGTGTGAAATTGCCACACTATGAATTGTGGTATTTAATTTCAGACATAATGAGAAGTGGCAACTATGGGGCAGGTTTTACTACAGGTTCCTGAAGAGGACCAGGAATCACAAATCACTATGTGTAACATTCCAAGCTGTGCAAAGTAGCAGGAGCACATCTTCTCCTACTAAAGAACAGAATTAGTATACGTATGGACAAATAAGAGGGAATGGCTTTTGAAAGGGCACTCTTGCCTGATAAAACTTTTAGAATTATCAGCGATGCAAGAGAGGTGTCTCATACGGCACATGTAGGTTATGTTTAAACTAGTAACATGAGAATCTCTCAGCACCTAGGAACACACATTGGATGAAACCAAGTGAGAATCAAAGGACCATCTTATGTTTTTTCCCACCGGGTCTCCAAATGGATGACCAGGGCTAACAAAATGAGGCTGCATCACAAAGCATAAAGTCCAGTGGATGTGGAGCCATGCTACCCGTGGTTTTCAAAAGCTTTCGTGAAGTTCTTTCAGCAGGGTCTACTAAGGAAATGAAACTGCTGTGGAGTAAAAGAGAATATTTCCTATGGACCAGTTAAAAGAGAGGAGGCAAAAGGCTGGAATAAATGTTTAAATTTCACAGTGGAGAGAAGTCACAAATACAGTTCCTCAGAGATGTGCTCTGGAATCTTGGCTTTGAATTATGGATCTACATCAGCTAGAAAAGAGTGGTTCGCAAGGTGACAAAGTTTGCTGATAATAATGAATCTTTCAGGGGAGTAAAAACAGTGCAAAGAGTTGCAGAGGGATCTTATGATACTGAGTGAATGAATGACAAATAGGCAGGTGAAACTTAACTGAATTCAACATTGGTATCTTTCACAGGGGTAAACAAAACTACATCCTAAATTCACACATGCACATGAACTAGTTAGCTCAGAAACTAGCTCTTACTACTTAGAAAATATATCTTGGGCTTATTGTGTGCAGTTCTATGCAAACGCTGGCTTACTCCTCAATACAAATAAGATAAATCAAAAAAATGACTAGGAATTTTTAAGAAAGAAATAGAAATAAGAGTGAAGGCCCTTATCTTGTTATCATGTAAATAGGAAGCGTTGTGTTCAGAGCTAGACAAGAGCAGTTTATGGTTTTAGTCTCCCAATCTCAAAAGCAAAAACCTCAAAAAGACACAGAAAAGGGATCATCAAAGAGTGGGACAGTATCAATACTTCTCAAAGTGGATAAGCAATTTTGACTTTTCTGAATGAAAAAGAGGAGACTGATAGGGTATTATGGTTAATACCTAGAAAATCATTAATAATATTTAGAAAGTGAAGAAAGAACAATTATTTGCTGTTTCAATACCAGAACTGAGGTCAAGTAGTAGCTTTAAAACAAAGAAATAAAGTACCATTTCACACAATGAATAATTAAAAAGTAAACCCTATTACTACAGAATGTTGTAGAGACCAAAATATAACAAGATTCAAAAAGTAACTGGAAAAAATCATGAAAGAAGAAGTGGTCAAAGATTACTAAACTGAAGAAATTGATTCAGGAAGTCCCTAAAATTCCATTACCTGAGATACAATGGGGAAAATTGCTCATCCACCTCTCATTTTTCCCCTAAGCATTCATTAATGGTCACTGTTACTTGGACAGGCTCCATGACCTCTCTTCTGACTCTTCTTCAGAAAGTTTGGCTCCAACAGGACCGTGATCAGACCTAAAATGAACATCTGATGCCTAATCTCCCTTTCTTGACTTGATTTTAACCTTGCTTTTCACTAGCTAAGCCAGCTTTGATTTAAACTAGCGTGTAAGAAGAAAATAGATGCCAGAACATTGTTGCATGTAGACAGAATTGTAGAAGTGGAGTATTAAAAGAGTCAGAGAACCTGCAGTAGACTCTATAGTTGCCCTACACCTCAAGATTCAGCAAGACTCTCTTTTTTTTAAATGCTCCATGAGTTTACAAGTAATGTCAGGATTTACAGTTACTTAAACCAGGTGTGTATTCAGTACAGAAGAAAGCAATCCAGCACTGTAGAAGCAATGCAGCTTTGGAGGAGGAGATTTACTGCAGCTTCTTTCAAAGGACTAAGCAAGTAAATAATTACTTTAGATTTTCTGCTTCTGCAAATTTTGAAAAGCAGCATATCACTGCTGTGCGGTACATACCATCTGACTCTCTGTTACCATAGGTGCCGATTTGTAAAGGTTGGCCTGCAAAAAAAGGCAAATATATACAGTATTACATACAGTATCACAGCAATTATAGTGATGACAGAAGACAAATCTGTGGACAGCAGTATGCTTAGGTACAGCAGCTTTTACCACTGATGTAGTGACACACAATCAATAAGAGAAGTTAAAATATTTCCAGATTATTTCTAGGTATGATCAAATACGAATGCCTGTTGTTAAAATTTTAGGGATACTTTTTCCCCAAATGCAACAAAATTTCACTCTTTCATCTTGATCTAATCTTGAAATGTAAATCCTGACATTTCTGAGCCTGCCATTGTCTGTTAATTTGCAGCATCAATGTTATTGACACTATCAATTGTCTTGGTAGCTCAGTCCACCTTTCTTATCCTTCTGACTTTACATTATGAAAACCAGAACAATCCTACCCAAGAATTACTTTTTTTTTTTTTCTGAGTATGCACTGAACAGCAGAAGCCCTATTTTCCAGATCAAGAGTAAATGCAATGAATGTAAAGTATTTGTGTGTGTATGTGAAATAGCCACGTGCCACATGCTTATTTGCCCCCACAGTGGTAAGATTCAGAATTTCTGGCGCATTGATCCCTCCAATCAACTCCTTCAAGCTCTGTAAGAGTTCCACTCGATAACACAGTGTTTCTGTACAGATAACATGCCCTTCCTTGATGTGGGTGTGATCTGGAGGCCCTGAGACTCTAAAATGTGAATATTCTTCAGTATGGTAGTAAAAAAAGTACTAGATACAATGGTTAGATGTTACAGCTGTAGTAGAAGACAAGTCAGTGACATTACAGCCTTCACCCTCTGCAGAAGGACCACTACAGTTGGATTTTTATCAACTCAACTGTATGTTTCTCTCACCATTTCAAGCAGAAAAGCAATTCCAGCATGCTTGGAGAGGGAAGAATATGCTCTTCCTTTGTTCCCCTGTGACAAAGACCTTGCAGAGATTTGGCCACAGAATTCTGGATGTGGTCTCCCAAGTGCTAAATGGAGATGTTTAGTCATTCCCTGGACCTGTTTGCTCTACTCCTGCATTGGTGGTGAGAACAGGTTCATCACAAGTTACAGTGGAGGACTGTGCTCCTCACTAAGAGCACTCACATCTCTAAACACAGCCACTAGTGGAGGAAACATTCCTACTGTGATTTAGCACTGAATCTGCAAGAAGTACATCTTCTGCCCTTGACAGAGTAAAGTCGAGTTTTTACTAGTGGTTACTTGCATACTAGGGACTCTCTTTCATACCGTTAATCAAATGTGATGACCAAGCTCACTGAGACCTTAAAGATATCAAAGCACTTCAGAATGATCTACAGATTCAAACAGGCTGGAATTAAATCTCTGACTTCAGTGGTACAAATTAAGAGTAAATCTCATTTCAAAAGGGTTACTTGAAATGTATATAAGCACAGCAGACTACAGATTAATAAGCGTTACTTATTTCTGCATGTCTGGGTGCATTTTTAGCTGCTTCATGTTCTCTCATTTGTTCACTTGTATGTCATGTCTGTAACACATAAAAAAGGTTTTTTGAGAACTGTCAAGAGCAAAAATGTCAATAATATGCAAAGTAATTATTCCAATTAATCATGAGAAATTATTTTAAAATAGTTGTAAAGGGGCTAAATGGCAAAATTACAAATTTGCTAGAACTTGAAATTATAGTTAAGAAAGCTTTCGTTGGTGTCAGTAATTACATGGAAACACAATGACTATATATATTAGGGCACTCAACAGCCATAAAAGTAATTTATTTAGAGAATTATTATACTATTATATTATTATTACAAATCAGCAGTATCATCCCTAAAGCCAACAGAGATGCACTTTATAAAATGGTGAATGACATCATATCAAAGGCCATACAGTTTAAAAAGTTGTTGAATGGCAATTGTAGTACTTGGTTGTCAGCTGGTGCAAACTACTGTAATTTCACTGAAGTCAGACATTTTTCCATACTTTATACACTCTCTTGCTAGTTATACAACCATTTACATCTTTACTGGCATAAGAAGACACAAAAGTAATTGAGGCCAAGGCAGATCGATGCCATTTTAATTGTCAAAATGGCAGGCTACTTCAACATATTTGCATAGTCTACTGCTTCATATAACCTACAGAAGTAATTAACAATATTATCATGTGTGCATATGTATACATTTATATGTATGTATGTTTATAAATAATCCTTTCTCATGATGAATGAATTCCCTGTCCCTGACTCATAAACAAATTAAGCATTTCTTTTAACCAAAAACACCCTCAAAGCAACATTTTGACAAGTATCTCAATTTCAGATATCATGAATACAAAAGGATTAAGAAAATTATATTACTAAATTACCATTTTAATTCTTTCTAGCAAAATTAATTCAGTTGCATAAAGTAAAAGCCTACTTCTAAAATTAAAAAAAAAAACATTCGCAAAAAAAGGATGGCTGAAAATCTTTACTCCAAGACAGCTCACATGAGACTCCACAGACCTCCTGGGGGAACTCACAATTTGATATTATGATAACAAGTGTCTGTAAAACACTCAGTTCTTGATTTCTATTGGAGACACTGTTAGATTGGCTCAAAGTAAGCACTTGAATTCAAAACAGATCTCTTGTACCTACTATGAAGAAAAGTTGGCCTCTGGACTATATCTCCTCTAGTGAGCAAAAGTCAGCACACACAGAGACTCAGGAACAGGTCCTTTCCAGTTAGCACACTCCCTTGCGTGTTTTTGTCCACACCAGCTAGCACTCTTCCAGACAGTTCTTCATCATGGTCTGTGTGGTAGCATGGAGCATGCTGCTCTCAGTGAGCTGAAGGGATTAGGCCACCCTGGGTCTTGTGCTGGGCTGGAGGGTTCACCATGAGGGAACAGAAGTGGAAGGGGAAGAGGAGAAGACAACTCTATGGAAAACCATCTCAGTGTGTCCTCACCCTAAGGGCCGGAGGACAAGCCACTGCCTCGTCTCTCAGCTGGGACAGAAATAGGCCTTGTATGTCCTACCACGGAAACAGAGCAAGAGAAGGGGAAAGAGCTGAGATGTGTGGGGGCTGTTAGGGATACCTGGCTTATCCCTCAGGAGACTCTGCTGCAGAGTGCGGCAACAGCAGAGTCCAGGAGAGCCTGGGCCCACTAAGTTCAGCCACCACAACACAGCCTGGAGATCACAGTCTCTTTTCTGACACACAAAAAATTCAATATGTTTGTACAATTTATAGGAAAGGCTAACCTCCCAATAGTCCTTTGCATTACTCCCAAACATATTTTTAAATATTGATTTGTTTAATTTATCTAGAAAGTTCCAGGGGAGATTAGGAAGGGTTTGTAAGATTGATTTTCTATGCCAGCAAAGAAAACCTAGGCATATGTTGGATGCTTGAATTTATGGTATACGTGAGCCACAGTTTTGGGAGCTGGAGATCTGCACTGGAGTGGCATTAAATATACTCTGTTCTCACAGACTACCTCTGAAACACACTCTTTTATTTCATTAAAAAGCCCTCTTCCAATATCCTTTCTAATTAGTATGAGCCAGCACAATCTGTCTAGTAAAAATCACAGTATGCAATAAAATATGCATACCGCCACATTCAAGCAGCAAAATTGAATTGATCAGTCAAGCATTGTTCTGGCATAAAACTGGAAGGCCTCTATTGCTTTGCCAGCACTGCTTTGATTTGAGGTTCAATGGAAATGCTGAATGATGAATAGTAAGCAGAGGTTTCTCACCACATGACTAGATGAGTTGTAAGTAAAATATGGAACCTGCAGTAACTCTGTGTGCTAGTGAGAATTAAAATGTTAATTGGGTATAATGTTTCAATAATTGAACAGGTGACTCAATATAGAGATTTTCTTTGTGTGTTGGAATGTGTGTATATGTGATAAAACAGCTTCTATTCATCTAAGGATAAACTGTGGGGTTTCAGCCAGCTCTATATCTTGGAAAGAAGAGTTTGGCTCAACCCCAAATTCTGATGGGTAGGCAAGAACTAAAGGACTTCTACCAAAGCAAGTGTCCTACAGTGCAGGCTGAGTCCAAACAAATGCACCCTTCAGCACCTGCAACAGTCTGTTTGCTAAATAGCTGAGCTCTTGCCCCATTCTTGAAGCAAACAACAAGAAAGAAGTGTGGGAAGAAATTAATTTTAACATAATATTCACACAGGTAAAATTATCAATAGGCACCACACTGAAGAGATTCCGGCCATGGGAAGAGATCTCAAGCCTCAATTGCCAGTGCTCTCACATAGTCACTTCTCTGTACTAGTCAACACCTCTTGTCGTGCGTAGACACCTGTGCAGACTCACCCAGTATTGTAGCAAGAGCAGACAAATTAGACATTCCTGGATGCAAAATGTAGAGTAGTTATAAAAGTACTTACATATCTGGTTTCACGCCCGGCTACTCTCTGCAGTGTTGTTGACACCTTGTACAAAATAAATAGATATATTAAGGGCAAAGAGGAGTAACTCAAAGAGATTTTTATCATTGTGACAAGTTATTATTTGCTCAAATTCAAGAAAACTTCAGTTTTCCAGAAAGATTTATGCAATATATGAGAATAAAGTGTGTTAAAGTTTTGCTTGGTATGTTTATTGTAGAAAATATTGTTTCATTTTTACTGCTCAAAAACACTGATACCATTCTATTAAGGACGTCATTTAAATTATCTCTGAGAACTCTCATAACAAAAGTGTGTTAGTAGATAGCCATAGGTGAGGTTGCCCCATGAAATTTAAGCTACATTTGTTCACAAAATAACCTGAAACGGCACTTTTCCACATTCTTATTTGCAAGAACTTGCTTTCATCTGACTAATCCATGCTATTTCTAAGGCATCTACTTATACGCTCTTTTTTTCTTCCTGTCTATGACTCTCTTTTACCCTCATTTTAAGCACTTTACTTTCTCCTTCTGAGGTCCCCACAACCTTTATCTTGGTCCCTATGCTGTATCCTGTTAAACTCACCTTTTGCCCCCTTTATTTGATTTCATGACTGCTAACAGATGCCTTCCCTTTAGTCAAGGCTCAATTCTCACTTGCCCAAAGAAGTAGGTTTTGGATGCTACATCTCAACCTAGTAGCAGCATTTTAACCACTTCATATTCAGCGCAGGCATTGGAAAACATTCGCTCAATAACAGTCTGCCTGCTTCTTCGGCTACTATCATGTTTCCGTTTTCCAGCTGCCTGAAGTCTGATTCACGGCTGCGTGCTGGTTGGTAGAAGTAATTTCAAAAACGAAAATTAGATTTGATGTGTATATTTAATATAGCCACTCAGGAATGGTGAGTCTGTGCACTATTTTTGCATGGTGAACTGGACATTTTGCAGGATATTTTGAATGCATTAACTTCTTGATGTGTTCCTCTGAAAAAAAGTCCCTTTCCTCCTGTTTTCAGGTGGATATATGCCATTTTCACTTTCCTATAGCTTCCATGACCAACTTAAATTTACCTGGGGCAAACTGAGTACAGGACCCTCTTCCCTTGGTTATCCATCCTTCTGAACCCAGAAGGCATGTCAATATAACTTAGTGAAACCAGAAGTTTAACACCAGTACAGAAAGTTACCACTACCTCTCACTACCTGTTTCCGAGTACCCAGGGTAAATGGATGTAGCAGACATCCCCCTCCTGTGAGGGCCCATTAAAAGGAAATCAGCACTTAAGAGCAAGTCTGCTTGTTCATTTCATTATCTCACTATTTGAAAACCAACAACGAACATTAAAAAAAAAATGTTCTGACAGATGTTTCCAATCATTGAAGCTAGAAACATTGGCTCCTCTGTAGTAAGGACACATAGAAGGGACAAAATCTGGGAGATGGCCAGAGACCCTGCAATATGGAAAGCAAGTTATGAAGGATTTCTTCCTTGTGGATCCCAGCCTCTGAAGCCTTAATAAACAGTTTCTCTGTCATAATATAACTCCTTCTGACTTCAGGAAAGCATCCTGCAACAAAGACTGCACTGACTGCAGAGAAGTTCTGTCCTTCCATGTCTTTTAAACTACCAGACACCTCTACTGATGTAGCATCTCTCAGCTGTAGCTTTCTGTTGCCATAGCCATAGGCTCTATTGTGATCCTGCTTGCCTTGATACCAACCTGGAAAAAGCCCTTGCTGTGTGGGTGGGCTTGTTCACCTACCTTGCCGACATCTGACTCCGTGCTCATCTGCAGGAAACTTGGAGAAGACTCACATCGACGCTGCAAAATTATTTTCAACAGAGAACAGACTCATTAATGACAAGAGACAAAAGGAAAGGAAGAGAAAAAGCCAATCCCACATGCTGACGGGTTACCATAGTCAATGGGTCCTGCAGGACTTGGTCAATGACAGCACACAGCTCTTCTGTTTGTTGTCTGAGGTGGGCAGGGGAGCACATCTGAAAAAGGAGGATGGATCACTCAGTTAACATTTACTTTTTGTTTTCAAATAGAGATTTGAAAGACATATAACAGCACTACCTCTGAATGGGTGTCCAAAGCAGTGCCTTCAGTCACGCTAGCAGTCTTGGTTGGCTCTTCTAATGCCTGCAATTCAAAAGATTTTGGTGTGATACTGACTTCAAAATTTAAAAAAAAACAAGCAAACATATACTTTTTGCAATACTGTGTTTCCAAAGGTGGCACTTTCTGTTTCACCACAGAAAAATGGAACAAGAGGAAATTACATGCCTAGTAAGGTTCTTCCAGTTACCAGCTTCTGATTCTGAATTAGAGGAGGCTTTGCAGAAAAGGAGAGAGAGTTTTCAAGCAAGGTAAATTGCCTTTACTTTTAGAGATTGGGAACTACCAGTTTAAATTGCCTTATCCTTTGACAATGCCCTCTCCTTCGCAGTAAATCTAAGACGGTGAATGTGCTCCGTGAGCCGTAGAGGGGTTGGGGGGCTGCCTGCCACGCACCTTCAAGGAAGGCCACCAGCTGCAGGCAGGTGGACAAGGCAGGGGTCCAAGCACGCAGGAGGCCCTTTCTTTTCCTCCAGTAGACATTTTCTTTGAAAAGTGCCTCCTGTTTATAGAGGATGGTGACGCCACATTGCAACAAAAACAGTGCTCGACGTTTTTGGATTTTAGCCTAATATCAGAAATGTATAAAGCGAAATATGTGCTATACATATGTGATATCACATTAAGCAGGTATGCAATCTCTCCAAACCGAAACACAATCTTCTTGTGCATCAATATACCTCCCGCTTTCCTATACCCGTATTTGGAACAGGTTTGTGAACAGTGGGAATCAGTTTGCTGATCCCTCTGCTTTATCAGGCAACTCACAAAACACCCTCAAAAGCCAAACGCCAGTGCTCAGTTCCCTTTTCATCTTTGTCCAGAGTCTGCGAGGCACACTCTCACTGCCACCACCCATTTTTGCTTTGAAGTGATTTTCAAGTAGACTCCGTGCCGAGACCAAAAATTACTCTGGAAGCCCGCTGATGTGTGAAGCTGGACCACAGGGGAGGGACCCGCAGGGCTTGTGGATTTTTTGTTTAATACTTCATGCTTTTCTGAAGTGTAATTTTGCTACTTATTTGAAAAACATAAATGATAATAAGAGAAAAAAAAAGAGCATTCCAGTAAAGCACTTTTACATGCATGTGGGATTCTGTGAGAATGGACTGATCCCAGTGAGGCATGAGGGCTGCCAGTCACAGAAGACATACACGGAGCTGGGAGAAAAATAGCAGAATCTTAAAAAAAAAAGAAAAAGAAAAAGAAAAAGAAAAAGAAAAAGAAAAAGAAAAAGAAAAAGAAAAAGAAAAAGAAAAAGAAAAAGAAAAAGAAAAAGAAAAAGAAAAAGAAAAAGAAAAAGAAAAAGAAAAAGAAAAAGAAAAAGAAAAAGAAAAAGAAAAAGAAAAAGAAAAAGAAAAAGAAAAAGAAAAAGAAAAAGAAAAAAGAAAACAAGCATGAACTTAAGTAATTATTTCTGAGTTTAATTTTGCTGAGTACAATTTTTTTTCTTTCTTTGTCCAGCTACTAGAAACATACATCTATCTATGCATAACTGAAAAGTTAATGACAATTTACTTTTTATATTATTTTAATACCATACACAAATTATTCTGCACAGAAGTACATTTATGGAACACCATGTCTTCTATCAGAAAGTACAGTAAGAAAAGAATGAAGAGTAGTTTCTTTCCAAACAGAATTTTTTCCTCCTCTCCAGCTCTGGACAAACCTACTGACCTTGAAGTAGTAGTAGTTCAAAAGGAAAAAAGTAAAAGAATGATTATTTTTTACCTACAAAAATTAATGTAATCTTATCCCAAGACAGAAGATGGAAAGATAAATAGTCTTTCTGATCTCTGTTGTCTCATTGCTGTTACCCAGATAAATTCTCAGATCAACAGACAGTCCTGTAGAAGGGAAGGGCTCAGCTAAAGAGGGCTCAGCACTACATTCAAGTACTGTGTCCCCAGTTCAGCTTCAGTCGAGATTGCATCTCCCTAGTAAACACAAAATGAAGTGATAAAATGAAGTAGAAGAGTCATTCCAGTACCCATTAGGGCCAGGATTGCCAAAGCAGCCTGTTGTAGAAAGATGATGTGTCTGAAGGTGAGTTAGGAAAACCAACAAATTTTAATCAGTCACAGGTTTGGAACAGAGAAATTGCAAAGCTTCTCAAAATCTCCAAGAAACCAGTAGGGTAATGAACATAATAAAGTAATTGTTAAGAAAAACTGCATGTTTCTGTTTCATATTCACTTCACCAGAGCAGTGGGAGAGGATGAACACAATCAAGGGTAAGAAACAACTACCCAAAAGGTACAAATGAGGTAGAGGAACTACAGCCACATCCACAAGTCTCTGTTCAGAATCCAGACTCTGGATAATTTAAGTACCAAATATCCACCAGTTTCAGTAGAAATTGGGTACCCAAACATCTTTGCATTTTGAAAAAAGAACTCAGGTGAGCACAGCACCAAGGTCTGTGTGCTCCACAGTCCCCCCGAGATACAACCACTGTGTAGGAGCCATGCTAGAGAAAGCTGTGGTGTTCTTCTCCCTTTTTGAACCTTTGGGGAAGAAAAATTCTAATATTCGAAGTGATTAATCTTTCACTGTTTTATCTCTTTTTTTTTTCCATTTTTTTTTTATTTGAACAGCTCAAGTCCTGCAAAGAAAGAGAAGAAACAGAGAGAACTAGATTTTAGGCATCTCTATCACCTCTACAAAGAGAAAAAAGTACTGTTTAATCTGTTGTTAGCTTTTCAAAATAAAACTCAATTTTTTATCCAGCAGTGCCCTTTTTTTTGTTGTTTTTTACATTTCCAAATAGAGAATAATGTGAGATTAAAAAAGTACAACTACCACTTCTGGACTCATTACTGGAGTTATCACGCAATAATGTTATGATTAATTTAAAGCATTAGTGCTATCTACAGTACTGTTGATTAGCACTGTCAACAGTATTCAAGCTTCACTTCCTATTGTGACAGTCTAACAATATTAAAAGTGGAACATGCTTATTTAGGCATTCAAATTTTTTTATTATATATGAAAAACAATAGTGAGACCACAATTTAAAAAAGAGTCCAATTTAGAGAATGAAAATGTATTTGTGACAGATTTTAAATGTTCAGATAAAATAACTAGTTGCTGAACCACTAATTTTTTCTTTCCAAAGGGCAACTTTGGGGGTGTGATGCATATATGCCATTAACGTCAGCAATGACTACATCCCTTCCCTCCTCTTTCCCCCAGGCTATTTCATTGCTAAATCTGTATCAGGGCTGAAATAATACTGGTAAATGATCCGAACAGGATCTCCAATATTTTTTTAGAAGAATGAAAGCTCTTAGCAACATACAGGAAATACTTAACACTGTTTCACCCACCAATGAACCACATCAATAGTAGGAGAAAAAAAAACAAATATTGCAACCTGGATCTGACACAGCTTCTTTCTTACTGTATTGTGAAAACCCTGGGCTAAGGAAAAGCTAAGAAGTTTCCTCTTTTAATTCCCTTGCACATTTTTCCCATCAATATCTTTTGCTAAGCCCTCAGCACATGCAAAAATCCTTCTGTATAACGGAACTTCACATACCATGAGTTCCTTTGACTTATTCCTTGAAGATCCTGGGAGATGATACTGAAAAGACCTGACTACTTTTCCTCTTATAAAATAATAATACAAAAAGCTGCAAGGCTTTTGAAAGAAAGAGGGACATCACTGCCTACTCCTACATCGGCACACTTGGTTATTATTACAGACAAACTAGGTCCTTTATCACTCCACAACTACACAAACTGTTTCCTTTCTTTCTTACCTCTAAGTATTTATCGCTAGCCTTGAGAAGCATTTTGACATGAACATGTAATCTGGATGTGAGAAATTCACCTAGTAAGTGCACACTGCAAGTACTCAGGAAAAACAAAATCTTTTTTTACCAAAATATTCTTAACAAAGTGGTGTCAGAAATGCTTTCCAGGTCCAGAAAGCTCCTGACATTCTTGGTAATAGCCAATAGTCCCAGCAG